CTAGAACTCATCTATTTGAGCAGACACATCCATGTCTTCTTTCATAGTGAAGTGCAGGAAGTTGGCAATTACATATTTCTTATTTTCGGCATTTTCTAGAGCATACTTAGTGTCCAATGAATTCCAAATTTCATAGGCATAACTATAGGAAGAATAAACATTGTACAGTTCATTGGACAAGCAGTTTAGGATTTGGTTGGTGCAAAGGTGGTCGACTGTAGTCCAATGTTCTGTAACAACAAAATGGGTTGGTTCCTCCATATTTAATGGGTTTGGTTCAGTCAAAGCAAAAGCTACCCCTAACTGTTCTAACGCAAACAACAGGCGTTGTCTCCAACGCTTATAGTCAGTTCCATTGAAGGGTTCAATTTTAGAGAAATCAAGAACCGTTGATAGTATCCGCTTCCTCGTGAAGGGGTTAGCAGAGATAGGTTCCATAAATACGGTTTTAAGAATGTTGTAAAAATAGTAAATAGAGAGGCATAATGGAATTTATCGATAATCGCTTTCCAAACCGAAGTTGTAGTGGTGTGAAATTGTTGCAGGAACTCGAAACTAGGAATTGCAAGAAGATGAAGGGTTGAGTCGTGCCACTTGATCACTCTCCTTAAAACCATATTTGCCCCCTACTGTGCAGCTGGGTGATCGCAAACCGGTCATCAAGATAAAACAACCCACAAGCCACTAGTAGGCGTATACTCACTTACCAGACCTCCGCGAACCATTGAAGATTGATGCTCATATTTTTCAGAGAAAAGACTGTCGAAAGATGGTGTGTGTGTAAAGATTGGGTCGGCCAACACTCTTCTTATAGAGTGCTCTCAAACCTAAATGGACACAGATGTGTCCTTTCAGACAGGAGCCTCTTCAGAACAATGCATTTGTTCGAAGAGGCACAACGAGGAAGAAGAGACACGAAAAAAAAAACAATTTATTAGAAAACTAAATTTGAATCTGAAGAGACACGTTTTAAAATTTAAAATGTATAATTCGGTTAAAACAAAATGATTCAGTGCATTGCACGTACACGTACACGCGCCCTCACCCACACCCTAGCGCGGCTCGGCTTGGCGTGCATGTAAAAAACACCCCCCCTCACATGCATAAAATATCTATAGTCCTCTCCTCCTATGAGTCTCTACCCATAAAAGGAACAAGACTACAAATATACTCTACTTCCACTCATTTTCCAAGCAATGTGGGACAAGGAGTCATTCAATGGAGAAAAGGACAAAACAAGAGAGGGAGGAGAGAGATTCTTGTAAATTTGAATCTCCCTCCAACAATAACCAGTCCAGATGAACTGAAGACAAAAGCATGCATACCGGGATGAGTAAACACATCGGTGTTTAGTACAGATGGGGCCCATGTTCGCTTATGATAGATAATTCAACCAGGTGTACATGATTTGGTGTCAGCCAATCCGGTCCCATGAATAACATAGCATGGGGCTGTTCTTTTTGTGATCGGATCCCATGATCATCTATAAAGATTTTTGCTGATATGCGTGATGATCAGAAGAGATTTCTATCATGTTAATCTTGGACATGTTTCAGAATTAGAAGTATCCGCATTCATGTTCTAATAAATAGCTTTATTTCTTATGCCCCAAACGGCCCTTAATGTTGCAGCAATTTTTCCCAAAAAGTAGCTCTGCCAATATTTATTGCAAGAGTTGTGCAATTGCCAGTTTGCCACCATTTTTCCAGGATGTAGTGCAGCTCAATGGAGATCAGGATTGATTCCAACCCGGTAGCCAAACTACTATTGCTATTAAACATTCAGAAAGAGGTGTCACTGAATTTCGGGTTCTTGTAGCAGAAATAGCAGCAAGTGCCATTTACCTGCCTTAGGTGCCATAGATTGGTTTTGTTTTTAACCTTGTTATTCAAAAATTTCCATAGAAAGGGCTGCCATCGAAAAGGAATTTTGATTTGCCAAACTGTCGGTGTTGGCCTCATCTCTTCCTCCCTGATGAAAAGACGATACTGACTTCAGTGAGAAGGCGCCAATGCGCCATTGTGAGTCTTCTTCCACATAATCTTTTTTCTTTTGCGTTTGAGAGAGGGATGTTACAGAGTCATGTTGAAACGCTATCATATTGGAAATGGTGTTCTAGTTTTTCTTTATCCCAAGTTCGATCCCTTTTGATATATTGTTCTACTTTTCTCTCATGGTCAAGTAACATTACTTGTTGCATTAAAGTAGGTTTATGAGTTTCTACCATGGGATCCAATGGTCTTGCAGGATATGTCAATATCCTTTCCCATCTCCAACGAACCAACAGAAATAGCTACCCATCTCTTCTAAGAGTTTTGCGTACTACTTGCTGATCCTAAATACCGTCTTTACACGAGAGAAACCTCTAAATCTGTTTGGCGAGGAGGGCTATATTCATTTCCCTAGCACGGCTGAACTTCAGACCTCCCAATTTTTTGGGCTTACATAGGCTGTGTTTGACTGTGGGAGTTTTCTCAATACACTCCTACGTTGGTGCCACATAGGTGTTTGGCGTGATAAACGTTTATTAGAGGTTAATCGGCGGTATTGGTGTGACCGTTTATTGAAAAAACACTAATAAACGGAAATGGATGGATTTTCGTGCAATGAGCCATTGGGGGAAGTGAAAAATTCTCGCTTCCCCCAACAGCTTTGCGCTTCACGAAACGTGTATTTGACGTGGCGCATACGTGGACGGTGATGTGGTGATTGAGGGAGAGATATCTGATACTTCATGGATCATTGAAATTGCGAAGAAGGCCCCCATGCCCCAAACCCTTACCATTGTGCAAGAGGGACTTTTCGCAAGGATAGCCGCAGAGAGGGACTTGCTCAGGGAGATTCACTTCTCACGCTGACTAGAGAGGGTGTGCCGCTGGCAAGTTTGTCGTCAATCACTACAAAATCCCTCTCCTCGACACCGGCCGTATGTTTCATATTGACCAACGAGGTGGTGTTGTTGCATACACCAAGAAGGTGCTTCATTGTTGTTTATTTCCCGATCTAAACGATATGTCATACCTACCCCTTCGTTTGAAAGCCGATCATCCGGTGAACTTTCCTTTGCTTCAATACGATGTTCACTCCGTCGTTCCCTCATGTCATGTGCCTTTATGTTTCAATAAATTATTGATCTACTAATGTATGGTATTTCAATCCATGTTTCCTCCCAACACCCATATACCTGTCATTTTGGCCGTTGGATGTGATTTTCATCCAAAATCAATTGTTGGATTTCAAAATATGCGCAAAGGGTAGTTTGGACCATTAGATTTCAAAATATGGCACTGAAAAATCAAGAAAAGGTGCCACACCGAATCACCCATATGACCCACTTCTTGAAACACCCTTCCAAACAGCACAAGGTAGGAAACGTTTCTCATCGCGGAGTTGGCAAATGCCTTTAAATGCCCACAAATTAACCCAACCAAATAACGAAAAGAGAAAATGTTTAAAGTCAGCTAAACATATACATATTCTCTCCCAACTGAAGTTATGATTGCTTGCTCCCTCTTTTTTCTACCAAAAACTCCTCTACCAATGGTTTATTCTCTCAAGGATCTTATTTGGAGGGTCAACCATCATATGGTTTATTCTCTCAAGGGAGACCAAATCAGCCCCCCACAAAATTGCCCCCCACAACGTTCCACAGCACATCCCCGCCATGTATTGAGAACATCTCCTGATGATAATCCTAAAAATAATGATGTCATTATCGGGAGATGTTTCCAATACACGGCAGAGATGTGCTGTTGGACATTGTGGGGGGCTGATTTGAACTCCTCTCAAGGGTCTTAGGGTTGATATTTTCGCATTTCACCCAATAGAGAGCACGGGCTTCTCAAAAATGCTGAAATTCTTTCTATTCAAAAACCGTTTTATTGTGCTATATTTTTTTTATCAAAATAAATCCCTAATTTATCAACAGGTAGGTCTAGAGAACCAAGTATAAAGCCATCCATTTTTAGAATTTAGATGGCATCCGATAACCAATAGGAAGTTAGGAATAAGTGAAGTGACCATGAAGTATTAAATTTGAACCAATGATGAAGTTTGATCCGAACGCTCAGTTTGCAAGGAAAACAAATACAAATATGTAGAGTGCAAAATTTTATTTTATATTATTTATCAAAAAAAAATCTTGTATTTTATATTATTTTGTATGTATTTGTATTGTATATATTTGCATTTGTATTCTTTCCAAATTAAGACAAAGGTTCAGTCTGAAAAGAGTACAAATACAAATAGGTAGTTTGACCCTCTCTAATAAAACATGGATACATATTAGATGGGTTGGGTGGGGTTCAGAACCAACCCTAGACCAACCTTGAAGTCTTGAATATTAACCTTGTCTTCGAACCAAACTGCTGTTAAAACCTAAACTTGCCAACCTAAAACCTATCCAAATTTCTGTTCAACCCAATGCATGGGTTTGATTGTTAGTTCCCCAAGATCCTGTGATATGGCAGCCCATCTGTTAGCTAAGTGTGCTGTCAAGCTATATGTTACTGGTTCCTGGGATGGGCCTCCTCCCCCTGAGATCTTGGATGTAGTCTGTAAGGTGTGTACTGTTGATTCTGTTGAATGAAATGAGCCTAAGGGCTGTTAGAAAAAAAAAGAAGAAAAAAGTAAAGAAAAAAAAAAAAAAACTGGTCTTACCTTCAAGTTATCTTCTCTTTCTATTCCTACATGCATATGCAGAAGCAACCATTTAGAAAGAATCAAAGAATCAACATGGCTGCATAAGTTCTGAGATTGTATTTTTTATGGCAAGTTTCTGAGGTTGTGCTACATCTATTATCTGTAATACAGATAAAGGACCAACATTTCTTCTCCTAACCTATTACCAGTTCTGTTATCGCTTTTAATTAATTAATAACACAAATAGGGAGAGAAAAGGAGAGAATCAGCCAATTACTTCCCTCCCACCTCCACCTTTGTTCTCTCAATGGAGCCACAATTCAGTATTGATTTTCCTATTTAAACAATAAGACTTGCAGTTCTCAAAATCACACAAGGTGATGTGAACCAGTTAACTCAGAATGGTTTAGACGCCAGATGCGTCAAAGTTGTTATTCCTGCTTGTTTAGGGTAACATCAGTTTTCTTTAAGCATCAGAAGGGGAAGAATAACAGAGAAAGATGGAAACAGATCAACTCAAAGGAAATACCGGAAAAAAATAGAAACGAACAACAACAATTATTTTGTATCTCTACAAGCTACCTTTTTCCAGCTTTTCAACCTCTTCGCGGTTCCTTCTTTCTTCCTCTTGAATCTCTTTTTTTGCATCATCCTCTTCTTCCTTTTGGTCAAGAGCTTCAAACTCTTTCTCTGCAGCCATAGCTTTCACTATGGGATCTCTTAGTTCAGATATCAATCCACCACCAATCTTGTATTCCTCTTCATCCCCAACCAGAAATAATCGCTGGTCAGGTCCTTTTGTCATGGGGATATCAACTGCCAATAGCTTCATGTCATACTGCAGAAAGAGAACTCTCTTAGGTCATTAACATATTAAAACAGTTTATAATGACTTTCCTCCCAAAAAGAGACAGCTTAGCAGTTGGGATCAATAAATGCAAGTAGTTCAATTCATTCCTTCTTAAATACAACTTTAAATGAAAATCTAACATATCGCATGATTCATCACTGGCATTCAGGAAGAGTAGCATTAAGAAATTGGATAGTGCAATTTGTCCCATATGGAAGATAAACTTATCAAAGAAGTTGTAGATTCAATTGGAAGATCCTAACCAACATCAAATATGCATTAGATAAACAGTGATGTTAAAAGAAGAATTAGACAGGATTAAGGGTTTCCTCTTACTTGCACAATGATACAACAAGGGTAACAGAATTAACAGGAAAGTATGGAAGCAAACCTGGCCCTTTTTCCTCTTTACTTCGACGCTTACAAGTCCTTTTCGTTCAGAGCCATGAATGGGGAAAATTAAGAAACACCGTTTGCTTGCCAGCCTTGGCTTGAAGTTCTTCAGCCTCAGCCCACCTCCTGACATCACGTACGCTCTTAAATCAGTACCGGAAAGAGGGGCACCCATGACCTCAAGAATTCCAACAGATGTGTTCAGCTTCCTCATGGCCATTCTATAAACCTTATCAGGATTGACGGTGAACCTTGAACGGACATACAGGCCCTTCAAAATAGAAAAAGCAAAAAAAAAAAAAAAAAATTCTGATAATAAACCAGGCTACTAATATCTGTAAAGAACAGTAAAGCCATGTGAATTGTGATATCCCTGTTAAATCTACTTGGGATCATACAAAATGAGAAGATGTTGCATATATGCAAGAAGGGAAGTTCCACTACTTCACTGTCCTACCAATGGTTTCAGAAGCAATCAACACAATCAATTCCAATAAATTTCAAAGTATTGTATTCTTTGAATGGTCATCAACAATCTGGTGAGAGATCAAACTAAAGAATGAATGATTGCAAATCCCCTTTGTCCTTTGAGGTTGATTTTGAATTTACAAGATCCACCAGCAGGACCTTATGATACCCAGATACACAAGTACATACAGTCCTTTGAGGTTGATTTTTTGTTTTTTTTTTTTGGGTGGGGGGATTACTGTTATCTTTGTTAAATCAAGTATAAAATGAAAAGAGTATAAGTAATATACAAGTCTGCTAAACAGGCCAATTTGTTGGTTAGTCACAGCTACCAACCCTTATGCTATGTTTGGTTTGAAGGAAAATGTAGGGAAACCAATATAAGGTTTGTAAAGTCGTTCTTACCTTTCCCTACTTTTTCCTTCAAACCAAACACAACCTTAATAATTCAACTTTCTTTGACCCCAGAAAAATTCTCCCCTATTAGCCCCAATTCTTTGGTAGGCTTCTGATCTCCCCCTCATAATATTCCTATATAGCCATGGTTCATTGCAGATGTCTCTCAACCATCCAACCACAACTTTTGAGTCACCTTCAACTCTCACTTTCCTGAAATTAGCAATCTCCCAATCCATGGGCAATGCAGAACTGCTAATACCAGATACTTCATGGTCACAGTGTGCAGATACCAGTACATGCTTAGTACTGGTACACTAAGCATACTTGAAAATTGTTGGAATGTTATACTTTATTTTTTATGTTTATATTCTGCTGAGTTAGGGTCTGTTTGGTCTGGTTAAAGTAGTTTTTTATCATTGTTTATGTACTCTAACTTAAGTAGGGGCATAAGGGTCTTTTCCCTTTTAATTATGGTCACCCTATTTATAATAACATAAGCTGGCACCGCTAGTCAGTTAGTTGGCTCCAAAACCTTTCTCTTCTCTTCTCCCTTCTCTCCTCACCCCCTTCTCTTCTTCTTCCTTATTTATCATTGTTGTCAGTGATCTTTTAAGATTGAAGAGGAAGAATTTATTTTGGACTCCTTGTGCTACTCATTGTATAGACCTCATGTTGTAAGACATTTGAGAATTGAGGTCTACAAAAAAGTTGTATTACCAGTGCAAGACAAATATAATTGCTTTTGTTTATAGGCATCATCTTCTTCTTACACGCATGAGGGAAAAAACAAGTGGAAGAGATCTTGTGCAATGTGCAGTTACAAGGTTTGCCACATCTTTTCTAACTTTACAAAGTTTGTATACTTTCAAGAAGCCCTTGCGTGATTTATTTGTTGGTGATTTGTGGAACGTAAATGGGCTAACAAATCAGATGGACTAAGAGCATCAAGCACTGTGCTTTCTATTGGGTTTTGGAAAAATGTAAGAGTTGCTCTTTTGGCTAACCAACCAATTGTGGAGGTTTTACGATTGGTTGATGATGATGAGAAACCCATAATGGGTTATTTTTACTATGCAATGGAAGAGAGAAAATAAAAGAAAATTTTAGTGGGAAAGAGATGGAGTATAAGCCCATTTTAGACATCTTTTATAGGTGTTGGACTAATATGATGCAACATCCATTACACTTTGCTGGTTTTTTCTCAATCCAGCCCTTTATTATAAGGCTAAAGCACAAGATAAAGCATCCGTTGAAAAGTTTGAAATGGGCTTTTTAGATTGCATTGGGAGAATGGTCAGTGATATTAAAGTTCAAGACAAGATCTCTATCAATTGGAAGAGTATAAGCGCGCCCGTGGTTCTTTCTCTAAAGAATTAGCAATTAGGCAGCGTGAAATGAAACAACCAAGTAATATAAGCTCTCTTTTCTTGAAACTTATATGATTGTAAGATAGCAAAGATAAACGAGTTATGTAGAATGACAAGATCATTGTAGAAGTATAAAGTACTTATACTGTGATTTAGGGTTTTAGAGATCTTCTCAAAAAAGTTAAATGGTTAACAAGGAATACGACAATCAGAGTTCAGTGGGTAGGCAAATCAGCAAACTCAATGGCTGATCCACTTGCAAAACAAGGGGCTCTTCAGGATACTTTATTTTGGGCTTCTATGTAGATTCTTTTGTACTTATAACTTTGTAACTAACTTTAAAGGAAAGGCTGCATCTCGTGCCTTCCTATGGGCTGCATGTAACTCGTATTTGCTGGTTTAATAAAATTTTACTCATTTAAAAAAAGTATAAAGTAATTATATCTGACAGAAAAATGACAGTCCATTTCTGTGAAGTTCCATTTCAGTTTCCATTAACAAATTAGTTGTGTCATGATTGAGAATCATTAGCAAGATAGTTTTGAGAATCACTACTCACACAATTCCAAGATCAGTTAAACAAAAAAAAAGGTGTTCTGAGCTGTTGCTAAAATAAGAGTAATAGGTCAATTTAAAAATGTAAATTATGCTCTTGTTTAAGGAACTAATATTACCAAGTTGCGAAAATAGCTGAATAAAGGTTGCTGGCATCACAATTGAACCTCGAGTTTCACACCATGAATCCCCTAGGACTTGGAAGGACTTAATACATATGGACCAGTTTTGCATAAGCAAGTCATGGAATATGAGTAAATTTCTCTATCAACACAATGTCATTACAGATACGAATAGGTATTAATAAACCAAATAACCTCACTGCATCTAATAGTTGTATACCATTGTGCTCCCAATGTATCCTAACAGGAACAACTGGATATCATTACGTTCAACGAGTAATAAGCATTTGAAAAAAACTCACAGTGAATGCCACAATGGCAGTTGAAAGAGCAAGAAACCCGTACTTCGCCATGCCCTCTGAAAGTCCAACAAAAGTATTTGCTATTCCGAACATGACTCTCCACAGCAAGATGCAGAGTGCAACTCCAGTGGCCCCCACCAGCACCAGATAGTTCCTCTTAAAAAACGCCTCAACCTGCAGGCCGACAGCCTCCCGGTACCGAGTGAACGCCGATCTAACAACCGATAAGGGCTTATCGACGACTGTTTTAGTGAAAATTCCATTGAGTTTACCAAAATCCGAACTCCTAAAAGAGAAATACCTACACCCAGATAAATTTCCAGGATGTTTATGAAGACCTAAGCTTCTGGAAGAGAAATTAGAGAATGTCTGAAGCTTCAAATTGATTTCAGGATTTAAACAGCTGGATTTTGAAAGTCCGGATGACAAAACCCCTGAAGAGTAATTCCTTATGACATATTCAACCGAAGGCGTAGGACAATTATGTTTTGAAGAGATCTGAGAAAATCCCCTATTGACAAATGTGGGTTGATGAATACATAGATTTGAATGAGGTTCAAGGATTACGTTTCTTAAACTTGAAAGCCCAGACGAAGAATTCGCAGATGAGAAAACGCCGTTTTGAGGTGTAGGGTTTGAGGGAATTTGATTGAAATGCAATCTAAAGAGACCTCGAATGATTCTTCCTGAAGGTCTTGCCATTTAGAGATAGAGAGAGAGAGAGAGAGAGAGAGAGTCAGATGCAGTGAACCATTTGAAAAAGAAAATTAAAAAAATAGAGGCAAAAAATTGAAGTTACAAATCTAGGCCTAAGAAAGGAAAAGGAAGCAACAAGCAAGGAAGAAAGAAAAGAACAGCTTCGGTCTCTTGATCCGCTCCTCGTTGTACAAAAAAGTTGGTAAAACAGATTTACATCGCAGATAAACTCCCATTTACATTGCATCGCCTGTCGTAGATTTTGGGCCTATCGTTGTATTCGAAGTCGAAACAGTGATCCGGCTTGTGTGTACATCTGACAGTGGAGTGGTATGGTTGCGCTTTGTGAACCGTGACGGACACATTGGTGTGACCATGTGAGTCTTTTTTTTTTGGTAAAATACAAAAGAAGTTTTTGATAATCATAAAAACCTCTCTTCTATTTTTTATAAAATTAACAAGTACCTCCCTTTCGTCGATGACCAACGAAAACGTTAATGAGACGATCATTTTTTATCAAAATACCTTTTTCCCGTTCAAACCGAGAGGCACTTCACCCTCGTACCAACATACAGATATATCGATTCAACCTTCTAGTTACGTGATTCATTCCACGGTCATCTAAAGCCAATGGCCTTTTCTAAAACCTTTTTTTCACTCTATAATATTTTTCCTTGGGTTGAGAAGAGGAGAGAGAAGTAAGCACCTCTCAACTTGGACTCGATCTTCCCCAGATTTCCCTTGAGCCTATTGAAGATTCTAGCTTTCAAAAGAATAGTCGCCATCCAAGCTCCCTTCGCTGCTCAAATTAGTGCTACTAACGGTGAGGTTCTCTCCGTTCTTCTCCAATGCAACAACCTAACTGGATTCTTTGACGGAGATGACCCATTCGACCAGGGCAACTAAGGAGTTCTGACCGCGACTAATGGTCTTTGCGATGACCTACCAGAGAACCTGAATTAGAGACCCCTTTTGGATCTTAATCTAAGCGCATAGCCCCCATGAGAGAAGATCCTTTGAAACTAATCAGACCCTTTATCCAAAGGACCTAAAAACAAGCCATGCTCAAGAGGTCCATACATGAAGCCTCTCTCGATCGGATCAGATAAAAATCCCCTAACGAGGGGACCAGAACCCATAACTCCCCCCAAAATTTTCGGCCAATGGACCATAATTCATGAGATAGCAAGGAACGGGTTGCAGGGGAATGGAAGCAAAGGAGGTAGAGCTTTCAAAAGCAGCAGCTCGATCAAGACTGTTATAAGAATAGAGATCAACAAAAGCTGTAGAGAGAGGGGTAGACATGTTAGCACTTACAGAAGCGCCAGAGATGGATCAAAAGGTGGTGGTCTCCTCCGAGTAAGCTTTGGAGGAGGAGAGATGAAAGGGATCGGGGAGAACGTAGCAGAAGGAGTGGCCAAGACCTTCATCGAGAGGATCGAATATAACAACAACTATGTCATGATAGCGGCGAACTCCACTGCCACCGAGGAAGTAGGGGTGCCAAGCTTCCCGTAGCCGTTGCCCATGGAAGATATCCAAGAGAAGGAGAATTTCGGGCGTTACAACCCCCATAATCGATATATCATTGCCGATATTTAGTGTTCGCTTTTTCTTGATGTACCTTTTATCTTTTATCATTTGAGAAGAGGAGAGAGAAGCAAACAACTCTCGATTCAAGTAATAACTAATCAGAGGGGTGGCACCACTACCTTTCTGGGTTCGAATGGGGTAGAAGATGAATAGTATTTGAGAAAGGGTAAAATAGGTATTTTGAAAAAAAAAAGATCATTTCTTTAATGTTTTTTGTCTTGGTCATTGATGAAAGGGAAGTATTTGTTAATTTTATAAAAAATAGAGGGGAAGATTTTACTAAAATGAAACTATAGAGGAGGTTTTTATGATTATCAGAAACTTCAGGGGAGGTTTTTGTATTTTACCCTTTTTTGTGGGGAGGGGGGGGAATTCCCGATAGGTACATGTACTTTAGGCCAAGTGTCAATTTAATACTTGAACTTTAAAACGTGTCTGAACTTTGGAAATGTGACAATTTAATACCTATCATTGTATCATGTGAACTCATGTGCCACTTAAAAATAAAACACACTTTTCATCGTCTAGGGAGGGGCAAGAACTGAACAATATTTAGTGTGCGACATTCCTAATCGCTGCAAGGGATTTCTCCTTGATCTCTAGAGATCTCAAATCGGAACTACACCCTATGCGACGTCGATTAGGACGTTCTTATCATCCTCATGGAGCAACCCAAGCAAGGAATCCATCTCAGCGTTCTTAGCCTCCGTGTTCCCGATCTGCAAACGATTTATCAAGTTTTTGGCTTCAACTCGGACTGATTCACGCTTGGAAGTCGTGGTGGTGGCGCATTTGTGTCATCTAATTCCAGCTCCTATGCGGGCTTTCTCTCTAAAGAACGTAGTGTTGGATACACAATGTGTAAAAGTATAAAAACCCAGAAATCAAAGGTAAGAAAACCAACCCAGTTTCAAGCTTTGCCCAATTTTTCTGCTAATTTTGGGTCGGAATGAATCTATTTATGCATCTAAGAATGTTCCCTGCTGAGGCAAGTTACTGCTAAGTCTTCATTTGTTATGTAGAGATGTGAAAGACCAGACACTCTAGAGTTAGAAAACCAACAAAGAATAGATTGCCACTCTGTCGAGATATACTTTTGATGCCCTCAATTTACCTCCTTCCTGCAAAAATAAAGAAATCCACCAACCCAAATAGATTTTAATTGATTATCTCCAACTTGTCATGATAGTTCGTCAAATCTTTAGAAGTATTACTCTATCTCCAGGATGAATTTGCAATTCCACTGCTCATGGATTTCTCCTGTTGTTTTTTAGAATTCATTGAACTTGGAGAGAGTTCGATTTCTTTCCGCTAGTAGACCTACTCACTGCCCCTGGGTTTCTTTTGTTGTTTCTCTAAAATTGGTGAACTTGCAGAAAATTCGATTTTTTTGCAGTAGTAAGCCTGTCTATGCTGGAAAAATCTCTCTTCCTGACCCGTCCTGTTCAACAATTGTAAACCGCATTTCTCGAGTTGCACGAACTGAAGCTCGGTATGCGTTATTTGATTATCTACACTGTACTAGAAACTTGCACTTCACTGATGCAGAGCACATTAGCAAGAATTCACCGGCATTCCTTCAGAATCTGCTCTCCAAGGTTGAGAGCGAGCAAGAGGTCTCTCGGTCACTATCCAGGTTCCTTCGTTATAATACCATTAATGAATTTGAACCATTCTTTGAGAGCTTGGGTTTATTGCCATCTAAGCTTCCCCCTTCTTCCGTGTAAACTGATTTTTCTTAGTGAAGATGATATCATGCTGGAGAATTTTCATGTTCTGTGCAATTATGGTATTCCTCGTACTAAGATTGGTAAGATGTACAAGGAGGCAAGGGAAAGTTTTGCATATGACTGGAATTTTGGCTTCACAACTCCAAGCTTATGAAGAACTTGGTCTTAGTAAGGCAACTGTCATTAGGTTGGCCATCTGTTGCCCGTCACTTTTGATCGGTAATGTCAATAAGGAATTTGCTCAAATTATTGAAAAGTTGAAGCATTTAAGCATTGAACAAGATTGGATCAGAAGCTACTTATTGGACAACACAGATATAATTGGAAGAAAATGCTTAACATGATATGTTTTATTGATGAATTGGGTTGTTGTGAAAAAGACATGCGAAGATTGTTCAAAATGCATCCTGGGTTCTTGCTCGAAGAATCAGGGAAAAAGATCTTATGTTGGTTGGTTCTGATTTTAGCAGATGGTTGATAAAGAAAATTAGATGACATTCGAAGGGCTGTGCCTTTTTGCATGCTACATAAGGGTTGGTTAACGACAGGTACTAGATTGTTGCATTTTGAAAGTTTGGGTACTGAATTATCACATTTTAAAGTTTGGGGACCAAATCGTCACTCAAGCCAAAGTGCAGGGTACTGATCGGGAATTTTCCCTTTTTTGACATATTGGTGTGAGTCATGACCATACATAGTCCATAGATATGTATCATTATTTTCTTTTGATAAACACTAGGAATGACCCCGTATTAAGTACGGGGCTATTAATCTGAACTATTTCCTTAATTCCTTTTTTAAAATCATCTATATTAAAAATTTAGGTTAGATTTTTTATTTTATTTTTATAATTTTTTTATTTAAGAAAATTACTATATATTATCTAAAAGAATGGACCCACACCATTTAAATCATTTAAGATTCACTACTTATATGATAAATTTATTTGAAGTTGTTCCTTTGTAAATTGTTATTTTATATATGATATATTCTGAATAGAAAATAAAATGGGCAGGTTTTTTCAAATAATTAATTAGGTGATATGCTTTTTTTAGAATATATTTAGCACCATTCTTGTTTCTACTTGAAATATTTTGGGTTGATAAATACAAATTGGCATACAAAATTTGTTTAAGACTATTTGCGTGTGAGGCTGTTTATCGAGACATCAAATTGTGTGTAGCTCTAGCTCCTTTTTGATCTTTTGTTTTATATAAAAAAATTGACGTTTCTTGTTATATGTGATATGAAAACATATATCTCTCACCAATTTATTTTTATTCATCAACCCATTTCACCTAAAAAGAGTAATGGTAATTTCTACATGGACCCACACCAAATAGGTCAATCTTCATCTTTTCTCTAGACAGATAACACTGAAACATTTCTTCATTGTTCGGTTGATTCTTTATAGATAGAAAATGATCAAGCTGAAACCTGAGTTTATATACTTTATAAAGCCCAAAGTTCCATTTAGACATATACTTTATACTATATATATTCTATCAATTATATAATACATTTTTGGCTATTAATATTATTATTACATAATATTGTATAATATATTATATTCTTTTATTATGTATATATTATTATCAAATTGGTCTCAAGTTCAGTTTAGGCTTATTTGGGAAATCCCGAACTCGAGCCATGAATAGGTCTAACCATAACCCATAGTGGTTAGGCCCGTTTTGGACTTTCAGCTGGGCCAGAGGTGGGGCTTCAAAAGTCATCCTGGGTCAAATCTCGCGAACAACACAGTCCAGTATATCAGAATAAGAACTCTGGATTCTTTGGGCGGCATGGTTGATTTTCATTAACATGTCAGATGCACAAAAAGAAAGCCGGCTAGTGCTAGATTCTCTCTCCCTCCCACACTGAGGCCTTGTTTGATTTCACTTAGAATAAGTACTTGTTTTAACAAATGCTTTTTAAGTGTTGAGACCACACATTAAGTGGTAATTAAGTGATTATGCATGTTTGGTAAAAAAAGTCACTAATAAGTACATTTTAAAAAGAAACATTTTTAGAAAAAGTGACCTAAGAGT